CCGCCAGGGCCACCATCAGCCTCCAACCGCCTTCTGGGATACCTCTGAGGGTTGAGGGTTTAGGGGTTTAGGGTTTGTAGGGTTTAGGGTTTATAGGGGTTTAGGGTTTAGGGGTTTAGGGGTTAGGGGTGTAGGGGTGTAGGGGTTTAGGGGTTTTGGGGTTTAGGGGTTTAGGGGTTGAGGGTTTGGGGTTTGGGGGTTTAGTGGTTTAGGGTTTAGGGTTTGCGGCTGAGGGGTGTAGGGTTTAGGGTTTAGGGAAATCTATCGCTGCAACATGTATACAATGCATCATCGATGTAGTCTGTGGTTCTTGCTTGTTTGGAACTACGATCATGTTGAGACTTCATGGAACAATGTACGATCATCCTAATGGACGCTGGGGATCGAAGGATATCGTATGTCAGAGCCAACTGCACAGAACTAAGTTACTAGTTAGGAACAATCGGGTCATATGAGTTTGAGTGAACTTACGCTGGCCGTCGTTCACATCCGTAGAACATAACGTGCGCACAACAACACGCCAGCACATAGCCTCTACGGCGTACGGAGGACCAGAAATCCCGAAAACCTAAACGCAATCATCAAAGGTGTCTCTGTGGGAACCCAGAACCTGAACCAGAGACCCAAAACCGCTCAACCCTATAATCCGGATAACCCCATAAACCCTAAACCCTAAAAGCCTAAAAGCTAAACCCTAAAACCCTAAAAGCTAAACCCGAGAACCCTACCAAACCCCTGAACCCTGAAACCTTGATCACAAGCCCCCAAAGCCTGAGCCCTAGACCCTAAACCCCCCAAAACCAAGTCCTAAAACCCTAAACCCTAAAACCAAAAACCCCTAAACGCTATACCCCAAACCCCTAAACCCCTAAACCCCTAAACCCCTAAACCCCTAAACCCCTAAGCCTCATCCCAAGACCTGAACCAGAAACCCGAAGCCCTGGAACCCCGAAGCCTTCCAGCCTGGGAGCCCCAAGCCCCTAAAGTTATAAGCTTTTGACCCCTGAACTTCTAGGGTCGAGGGTGTAGGGTTTAGGGTGTGGGTTGTAGGGCTGTAGAGTGTATTGTGTAGGGTTTGGGGTTTAGAGTTTCTGGACCCCTGAACTCTAAACCCATGCACAATGCCGCCTTCAGGTTCTTCTTCTGCTTTGTGCTGACCTTGCTGCCGGGGTGTGTTTTCGAGACCGAAGTCCCTTGAAGCTTGTAAGAATGAAGGGTTTACGGGTAGGGTTCGGGGGGTAGGGTGTTTAGGGTTTAGGGTTTAGGGTTTAGGGTTTAGGGGGTTCAGGGGGTAGGGTGTTTAGGTTTAGGGTTAAGTGTTAGGGGTTTTGCGCTTGGGGTAGGGGTCTCGATGAAGCCTGATACACGAAACTTCACGGAGCACAGAAGAGCTTTGAAAGGCGTCTGCTGAACCCGAGACCCTGAAAATAAAGCTCGGAAACCTAAGATTGCCTCAAACCTAAACCCATACTAAGGACTTGAAACCCTTATAACAACTTATGAACCTCCAAGCAGACTCTTCACCTTGAGCCCTTTTGACCAGCGTAGACTCGATGGCAAAAAGCGCCCGTGAACCAAAGCCGACTGCCACAGAACCATCTTGCGAACGACAGGGATGATGATGAAGTTTGAGCGTTGGTGCTGCATGGCTAGGAAGCTCGAACAAGAGCCCGACTTAAACTTAGGAAATCCTTTGCCGAAAGGCTGTGTAGCTCTGGGCCACTCGTGTAACAAAAACGGCCGTGGCGATCAATTCGTCCGTGGCCATCTGGTAAAAACATAGCACATCGTGTCATGAATAACCTCAAAGCTCGCCGAGGCAAGCGAAGTATTGATACCTCTCTGAAACCTAAGCTGCAAGAACTGCAGCATAGTCGACCTTTGTGGTTAGGTATAAACAGGGCTCCTTCAAATCAAGACAGTGCTTGGAAAACAGCAGATCATAAAAGCATGGCCCCTCTGACGAAAGCTACCATACCAGAATGCGACAAAACGTCCTGAAGCCTGTCTGCACTTCCCGCACAAGAAGCCTGAACAGGCCCCAAGCCGTACATTCAAAACTCAGTCTCCAACGCTCTCGGAAGCACTGTCACTCTCGGAGCCACTTTCCTGACAGCCGGAAGAAGCTTTCTACGGCTCTTCAGAGTACATTCACGAAGTATTTTAATCGGAAGCTAGCAACCGAGGTCCGGTCTTTCGAGAAACAATCAAGTCTCAGCAGATACGACCAACTCCAACGCCAGAGATGAGCCGTGGTCTAGCTGTTTGCATTGCTGAACCGCAAACCCCAATCTGACGCATACACCATAACATAGGGGCCTTAACAATTAGAATAGGGTTTTGGGTATATTACACTATACTTACCCTAGGCTTCCAGGGACCTTATTATTGGGTTCTAGGGCCCTAACTATAAGGTCCTTGGAAGCCTTGGGTTATAATAAGGAACCCCGTTTAGGTAAACAATAATGGCCGCTATATTAACCCTTAGCTCTCGACTACAACAGGGGCATATACCCGCTCTTGGTGTTTTGGGTTTCAGTTTAAGGTTTGTTTTGACGTGAAGGATAGCTCTGAGTCTCGAGTATGGATTTGCGTGCGCAGCTGTTGCATGGCTTTGGGCTTACCTGGACCCCTAACCGGTCTTTGCTTCGGTTGCCTTACTGTTCTTCCCTAAGGCTCCATGCGCCTATAGCGTGCATACTTCGGTCTAAAGGGGCTCCTATGTAGGTACTTTAGAACCTGAGTACATATACTATATAGGTAGATAGCCTTAAACCCTGAATCTTAAAGAAACCCTTGTAAGTACATTGGACATGGTGCTAGAGGGCCGGTAAAGAATGCCAGCAAGGAATCAAACCTTAAAAAGGGTACCTTTGTAGAACCAGGTTATTTGGAGATCTAACTGGGGTTATAAGTAGGGTGCCTGTAAGGGTTCTATAGGGTTTAGGTTTAGGGTTTTGTGTGGTTATAAGTGGAGGTTATAAGAAGGGGGTAACTATAGTTATAACCCATATTTGGGGACTTATAACCCCANNTATAACTACCCATGCACCTCTAAGTGCCCAGAACCCAGAAACAGTAAGCACCTCAGTCACCTCAATCACTACACCGTAAACCCGTGCAAGTTTGGCATCAGGACCCAGGTGTTTGCTGGTCGCATTGAATCCAAGCGTGTCGAATTGCAGCTTTTAAGGCTCAAGGGGCACTTAGATGTCAGGAGGCTTTATGGGATCAAGTTGTAGAGTTTTAAGGGGCGCCTCGGGGCTTCCGTCGTTTCTGGCGAGGCCAAACAGAAAAACTGGCTTAATTGTAGCTTCCGGCTCGTCTGCCGCCTTCAACCCTGAACCCTCATACTATTGGCATACCAGGCCTGCATGCATGCATAGTAGCAGCAAAATACAATAGCAATAGCAGTGGCAGTAGCCAATTGCAGTCAGCAGCAACAGCAACAAGAGCAGTAGCAGTAGTAGTAGTAG